AAGATAGTGTACAGATGGCATCTCCTTCCAGCCATTTTAGCCCAAAAATGTACAAAGGATACTCATCTTTATGTTGGAAATGCAAAAAAGAAAAGGGCACCTTTTTCATGTTTGGTGGACATGCAAGGAAGCACAGGTGTACTGGCGCATGGTTTGGGAATGGGTGACAAATGATTATGTAAAACATCCAGTACAAACCTGACATTGTTGTTAGGAATCCTTGAAAAAAATATTAGTAAAGAGGATATGTATTTATTTATTCATGTGGTTACAGCGGCAAGGATTTTATTCGCTCAAAAATGGAAAGATATGGCGACACCTAGTGAGGAAATTTTAATTCAGAAAATTATGTATTGCGCAGAATAAGACAGGTTAACTAAAAGACTAAAAAATCAGGATGAAATGGATTTTTACCAAATATAGAATAAATTCTATAGATGGTGGGGAAAAAAAATAGGGAAGTTATTGTAATGAGATAAGTCAAGATTGAAATTAGAAGGATGTTATTGTAAAGAGTTCTATCTGTAATTAATGTTAATATGAACTGAGATGTTTGTCAAATGCTGATTTACCACGTTCAGTGTTTTTAATTTTTTGTTATTCAATACATTTTTTATAAATTTTAAAAATAATAATAATAATTGTTCTTGGCAATAAGAGTGCTTTACTTTAAAGTTTAATAGTAGCAACATAAAAGTAGGTAACTCAAAGGATGTTCTATCACTACTGTCCTTGAGAAGAGATAGCTTGAATAAATAATGTGTACTTCCTGTAGAAGATCAGTTTTCTGAAGACCCTGTAGGGACAAACCTGATTAACTCTTTCAATACCTTGCCAGATACTAAACGTCAGTATTCTAGATGATCTGAAGAGAATTATTAGCAACAACATGTAAAGTTGCTAAACCTCTAATAGAGCTGGTCATCCCAACTGCCCAAGAAAATGCAGCCTATTTTAAGAAACAATCTGGTGATTCATCCCCTATTTCAACGTAGAATATAGACATGGAAAAGAGCACCAGAGAATCCTTGGAAGTGGTTTTCATCTTACTTCCTCTACTCCTTGATAAAATATCATACTATGCAGAAAATGTGAGAGAAATAAAATAGAGGCTGACAGACAAGAGGAAGCAAGCTGCAGCCCAATCATGGTGAGTCACTAATTGAGGATGGCTTTGGAACAGGACAGAGTTATAAAGATGTCACCCTTAGCTCAACACTTCACTTTGGATGTAGATAATCTTCTGAGTTCCCAACCTGAAAAACTATCCCACCAAATTGCGGCTCACCCACTGGAGCTTATACAACATTAAGGCAGTGTTGCCTTAATTTCAAAACTGTGTGGTTTTTGGTTTTTGACCCTGAAGGAATTTTGGATAATTTCACTCTAGTTGAATAATTAAAAAAACATGTTTATTTTAACCCAAAATTCCAGTACCCTCCCAATCACTCCAGTAATATTAAGTACTGACTTGGAATATCACTGGCTGGAAGAACAAAGTAACAGATTGGGATATAATGAAGTTCCTCTCTCGCTTTGACTTCATAGCAGTCCAAGAGACATGGATGACTACAGATGAGGAAATGATTATTCCTGAAAGGAAATATAACATGAAAGGGTATATTTATCCAAATGCTAATTGCTTGTATTTCATATAAAGATGATATATTTATCTAAATACTGATTGCTTGTATTTACCACATACACATTTTATTACTATAATTTCTTTTATCTACTTTACTCTGGATTTAGAGTCTGTATGTATCTCCCAGATATCACATAGTCCCTATATATCCTATGTATTTTCTGAACTATTGTATTTCTTTATCAAGGTTCCTGCTTTACTCATAATTATAATAAATTATTTTAAATATATATATATATATCTAAGTAATTGATTGTTGTTATATATTTTGTTGCTCACAAAGGAAGATATCTCCAAATCTTTTATATGATTTGTATAGTGTATAACATACTACCATAATAGGTTTTGTTCGTGTTCTTCTTTTACTTGCTATTTACTTTTGCCCAAATATTTTTGTTTGAATTTATTATGCAGTAACTAAGCAGCAAATAAATTATCTCAGATCCGTTCACCCAGGGGATAATATTTATGCTGTTCAATGCAAAAAGAAAAAAGAAAGATAAGTAACAGAAAGAAAACAAACCTTTTGATGTGTTTTTTGTTATTTTCATAGTTTGGGAAGAAGTGGGGGAATGTATATATTAAAAGCAACTGAAATGAGCCCTTTTGGACCGACTGGATCTGGAGGCCATCAGAATACAAATATTGTGATTCCAGCTAGAAAGAATAGAAAATGCACAGAGTGTCTGATTTTAGAGAAAACTGGCTTGATTTAGAAAGATGATTCAGTCAAATCTCCTTTTGAGTAAATCATCTTCTTAGCTTTACACATCTGTAGTATATACACTGTACTGCAACTCAAGTCAAAGTGTTGGTTAAAGCTAATTCTAGCAGAGGAGCTCCATCCCCCAGATATCACATAGTCCCTATATATCCTATGTATTTTCTGAACTACTGTATTTCTTTATCAAGGTTCCTGCTTTACTCATTTTCAAAGCACTGATCCCATTCCCTAGATTACACCCCTCTTCTTTCGGGCCAGTACAGGGCTAAAGAAAATAACTTTTCCCAAATTTATTCTTGACATATATTTTACAAAAATTGTTACCTATATAAAGGTTATTTTAAAGCTCAGCACCACGTGGGATGTATAACTGAGGAGACAGTTTGGATTTGCAAAGGGAAACTTCTCCTAAGGTTCTGTCTTCTCCACCTAGTCAGACTTAAAAACACTGTACTTTAATATCAGTATAAAGATAAAGCCTCATTATGTATGGATAGCAAGTGAACAAAAGATGTACTTGTGACATCTGAATGTAATGTGGTCATTCATTCATTCATGTATTCCTTTCTATAGATTTAAAAAATACAGTAACATTAACCTTAAAAATACTTAAATTTAAGAAATGATAAAAATCTGAAAAATGAGAAAGGAAAAAGGCTTAATATAAGGAAATGGGAAAAATTGGAAAAATAAAAAGAGACCCTGCCATATATATTACGTTATTGTGCCCGAATTGAATGTACATGTGTATGTCTAGGAAAATCTGCATCCATGATGTAAAAAAGATGTTGAGACTCTAGAAAGAGTACATTGAAGAGCAACAAAGATGATTAGGGGACTGGAGGCTAAAGCATATAAGGAACGGTTGCTGGAATTGGGTATGTCTAGTTTAACTAAGAGAAGGACGAGGGGGGACATGATAGCAGTGTTCCAATATCTCAGGGGCTGCCACAAAGAAGAGGGAGTCAAGCTATTGTCCAAAGCGCCTGAAGGCAGGACAAGAAGCAAAGGATAGAAACTAATCAAGGAGAGAAGCAACCTAGAACTAAGGAGAAACTTCCTGACAGTTAGAACAATTAACCAATGAAACAACCTGCCTTCAGAAGCTGTGAATGCTCCAACATTGAAGTTTTTAAGAAGAGACTGGACAGCCATTTGTCTGAAATGATATAGGGTTTCCTGCCTGAGCAGGGGGTTGGACTAGATGACCTCCAAGGTCCCTTCCAACTACTACTACTACTTCTACTTCTTCTTCTATTTCTTGTTGTTGTTGTTGTTGTTGTTATTATTAGCTTCTAATTCATTACTTGGACTTTAGTCTCAGTCTTCAGCTAAAATAGGTGATCATTTCTTGCCTTAGATAAGTTGGGCCTAAATAAGTTTAAAAATCTTCTTCACCAGGATAAGTCTGCCTGCTCTTTAAGACCAGGAATGGACTCTTTTTTTTAAAACCTGTATGCCTTTGACGACTGTTCAGTTATGTTCAACTAACAGAAAAGGCCTTTCTCCTTTGGTCCCAGAGATACAAAATGAATTGCCATCAAATACAGCTTCTAAAAAAGTCCTAAAGATGTAAGCATTCCACTGAATTGAATGCTTTGCTGTACTGGATTGAGGTATCACTGAATTTTTATAGACAGTTCACATACAGAATGGTCTCGTGTAATAATCTATTGGAAGTCTTGATTCAGTAGCATTAATTCTTCAGCATCATATAACCTGCTGACTTATTCTGTGTTCTCTATAGCACTCTTCCTGCTCCCTCATAAAGTTGTTGCTAATCTCTGATCACTTCCTCCTTTCCTTTTTTCCAAGACATGCACATGGAGAGCACAAGCTATTTTACTCTCTTCCTGGTGGGATGTACTCTGCAAGCTGCTAGAGTTTACTTGTCCATTTAATGTACTTCCTATAAATAAATCTCTTTTTGGTTAAAATTGAAAACATGCTTCACTATCATTGATCTCATCAATTCTATGTTCTTGGGAATGTTCAGATATACAAAGCAGATACTTCAATCCAACATCGACTAATCACAATTTTAGCCCCAAAGAAATTGTGTATTAAGTAGAAAGCTTGACAAGTATTTGTCTATGTGAGTACATATGAGTATATATGAAAGACTACAGAGAACAGAAAAGATTCAAATATATAATCCGAGCAAGAATTAGACTTCAAAATGAGTTGTCATTTTCAAAGGGAAAAAAAACCACCACTTTTTTTCCTCCATGTAAAAGCATTTTGCAGTAGACAAGCTTGTAAGCCCCAAAATTAAAGTAAGTTGATCCCAGGATTGTTAGGAAGAGACCTTACTGACAAGCAAATCCAACTCAATCCTTTCAGAATTTGAAAGAGGATTTTCAAACTGGTGTTTCAGTCTGACGCTTATATCTACTGCAAAGCTCTATAAAGCTTTGTTCCTCATAAAAACCATTATTAGCATATCACTCACTTTGGTCAATGCATAGAAGAAGTTCCAGAATTGTCTAAAACATAGTTAAGCCCTGTATGAATTCTTCAAATGAAGTTTAATGAAAGTATGAGATACTGCTGTTCAGTCAAAACATCGTTTGTCCGTTTCTCTAGTCACGTAAATACATTCCTTTTTATTGTTTTGCTTTTACTATCCAGGGAAGAATACAAATTGAAAATGGAGCTTTGACTATAACAAACTTAAACTTGACAGATTCTGGCACGTACCAGTGTATAGCAGAAAACAAACACGGTACAATATATGCCAGTGCCAATCTCCGAGTTGTAGGTAAGTCACAACTTTGCTTTCTGTGTTGTTGTTGTTGTTCGCCAGATATTTTTCCTCTGCTGCAGTAGCTGTCATGTTTTTCCTACACCATCTTGAAAATTTAGCAGAAATGCTTTCACAGCACTCCATTTATTAGCATTTCTGTGTAATTTTCTCAACTGTATCTGAGAGATGTGGTGGAGGGTAAAGAAGCTCACTGTATTTTATAGCTCAATCATTCACTGATTTAAAACAAGGACACCAAGATAAGTTATTAATTATGGGGAGAAGAGACACAAAGCTTGGATACCAGCCCAGTGATTAAAACTAATCACACAATTGGGAAGCAACATTGGCTCAGCATATTACTGTGCGGCACTGACCTTCTATTATTGAAGCTTTGGTATTCTTGAGAAAGCAATGTCATTTGAAAACAACAGAGAAGTTTCTCTGACTTTTTCCTTGATGATATGGATGCAGGGACCCATTATTAGCTATAAGTGGTCCTCGACTTACAAGAGTTTATTTAGTGACCATTCAAAGTTACAACTGCACTGAAAAAAGTGACCTATGACCATTTTTCACACTTGTGACTACTGCAGTATCTCTGTGGTCATGTGATCCAAATTTGGGCGCTTGGCAGCTGACTCATAGTTATGACCGTTGCTGTGTCCCAAGGTCATGTGATCTCCTTTTGCAACCTTCTGCCAAGCAAAGTCAATGGGGAAGCCAGATTCACTTAACAACCACATTACTAACTTAAGAACTGCAGTGATTCACTTAACAACTTTGGCAAGAAAGGTCATAAAATGGGGCAAAATTGACTTAACTGTCTCACTTAGCAACAGAAATTTTGACTCAATTGTGGTCGTAAATTAAGGACCGCTTATACTAGCTTTCTTTTAGAACAAATGAGGATTTATCCTCGTGCAGAGATGAATTGGCAAAGCTTTTGCTATATTCAAACAGTAACTAGCTTTGCAGTTTTACATTTTTTTATATTATTTCTTAATTCAGAGTTTAGAAGCCATATTGAGTATCCCTTGAGTTAAGGAGCCATCTTGGCCTCTTTGGGGATTGTATAAGTAAGACGGGCTGCATTTTTACTTCTTTCCATTGCTCAGTGAAGTGCCTTGATCTGCTCCCCCATACTTAACTGCATATGTGATCAGCAAAATGGAGGATATACAGTAAACAGTCCTTCCAGGAGTTTTGTCCAAGCACTGCTATCACAAAGAAGTACTCTTTAATTCAGCCACTCTAATGAATGGATTGAATAGTTTGTAATATTTGGACTATCTTACCGTCTCAAAGTTACAATACTCTTTACAAATAACTTAACTGTGTTCTGAAATTGAGATAACTGTGGAATATTTTAGCTGGTCAGGCAATCTGAGGCAATTTTGTGTTCTGCAATGTCTTATATTTAGAATGGAAAGTAAAAGTTACAGTTCTGCATTGTGTTCAGTTTTTCTTTTTCCTAATTGAAATAATAGTGTTAAGATGATTGAAACCATGTAAGTGCAAATCTGAATAAAGCTGTTAATTAGACCATTGATTGCACAGTTTTCAGTTTTGATGCCCAAATCAAAGTCTGACAATGTTAACACTTAATATAATTTATACAGATTGTTGAAATCTAGATTGGCTGGTGAAACTGATTTTTGAATAAAATTAAGGAATAATTTGATTCTGTCCAATCTGCTGCCAGAGATCATTCTTCTACCATGTTCATCTTCAAACATCTAAACTGAATGTAGGTTCTTTTTTTAAGCAGAAAGGCGGGCTAAAACGTATCTAACAAAACTGGACAAAATGTGCTGAAAAAGTTTCCAACACTAATATTATTTTGAAATGAATAAATGAAAACTCCTAAATCATTGAATTCAACCAGATTATAACAGTAACACCTTTGGTGGATTATGAAGAGTTATGAGATACTAAGTATCTTTTGTAAGAATTGTTTTAAATTCTATCTATAACATAGACTTAATTCATTTTTTATGTAGGAAAATGCGACCTTTATTTATTTATTTATTTTGTTTACAATCCTGAAATCAGCAAATCTTCTTCCATGAGTTTGTCCATCTGTAATCGGAATTTTATTTTTGATATATTTAAAAATTTTACACTGATTTATTGCAAGCTCTAGAGAATTTATGATCTATATTGGCATAGAAATGCCATCAACATATAGATAGACATAAACAAACCAATCTATCCATGTGATTCAATAAAAGTCTTGTTGGAAGAAACTCACTTGATGGAAGTTTCATGTCCCCATTCTATAACTCTCTCTGGCAAAGTCTTGCAGCAGCCAATGAAGCCAATTGCCAGTATCTTCCCAATTGTGGCTGATTTCAGAGTAGAACTGGAATTAGTTAATGAAAGAAAGTAGCAGAGATTTGGCTAGACTGGGAAATATCAATCCCAGAAAGAAATAGTTATATGGGTGTCTCAGTGAAGCTATCTACAGTCAAGCTCAATCTGAACAACATTTGTCAGTGAAAATATATTTACATGTTGCTTTTTGCATTTTTGCTAGCATTACTTTCCACAGCCCTTTTAATATTTTAAACAGAGCATGGAAAGAAAAACAATCCATGATTTCTCTTCTCTTTCTCTCCCTTAAATCTTCCATCTTCTCCCTGTCTCCTTCCCTAAAGTCAAAGATATCAGCAAGCCGTCTCCTGAGACTGAGTAGCATCTTGTTACTCTTCTTCTATCTCCAGGACAGTCTTCACAATAAATTATTAAACTGCAATTTTGTTATAATTCCTAAAAAATCAATTTATGGAAGAGCTCTAATCTAATCTTGCATTTGTTCTTCCTCTGTATATTTTTAAAAACCGGTTTCCAAACATAGCAAAACAGCTTTTAGTGATGTATAGAAAAACATGTTATCAGAAAATGTGGTAATGAGAAAATGTGGTAATGCTTCCTCATTAGCACAACTTAGTAATATCTTCTTGAAATAAAATTCTATGATTGAGACTTGAACTCTGACTTGAGTTTGATTCAACTCAGTTAATGCCTTTTTCATGACTACTTCTAAAACTACTGCCAAATCACTATAGGATATCTCTTTCCATCTTCCTATGTCAAAACAAGGAACATTGGCTGATTTATTGGGGGAGGGACAGCAGTACTTTCACAAAATGGTGGTTGTACTTAATGCCTGCCATGAGACAAAATGACTGGTAGGGCGATCATGCCCAGTAACAAAATGCTTATTTACCACAACATAAGATAATTTTTCAAGTTTCTTTGTACCATCTCATCAGGATTTTCATAGAATACAAAGACATTGCTGCACATAAATATGATGTGAAATGTCTTTGCTTTCTTTTACAGCACGACAGCAACCTGCATTTATAAAAATAAAGCTAGGCAGAGACTCACTGGAAGCAAAGGAAGCATTTGGGACATATTGTTACCACTAATGCAATGTTTTAATATCACATTGTATTAAATATTGTGAATTCAGCCAGACAAATGGGTAACAAGTCAATACCAATTGTTGGAAAGTCACAGCAAGAAAGAAATTGGCCGCTGTAAAAAGACAAATGCTGGAAAATGTAGGTCTTTGGAGTCTTACAATCAGTGAACTGAAAATAAAGCCTTTGCTTAATCCCAGCTTAATTCAGTGGCATCTTAATGTACAATTTCTGTTTCAGTGCTATTTTGGCTGAACTAGAATGGGAATTTCATATTCTTCAATGGTTAAAGAAAAAGAAAAAAAAAATAACATGAATTGTGGAACTCACTGAGGACATGCTGGAGAAGTTGTGTTTCATAGTTAATGTGTTTCTTCTGCTGCTAGCTTCTGCTCCTGACTTTTCTAAAAGCCCAGTGAAGAAATTGATTCAGCTTCTAAAGGGCAGCACAGCTCATTTTGAGTGCAAACCAAAAGCTTCCCCTAAAGCGACAACTATTTGGAAAAAGGGAGGTGAGCTGCTCCAAGAAAATGAAAGGTATTATGTTGTGAATATCTTCATGTTATAATGTAAATATTGCCATATTCTGAAAAAAAATAGCAACACTATTTAATTTAGAAACTAAGTAATTCACCCAATTTCATTAAAGTATACTGTATGGTACAGATGAAAGAAGAGATTTCTACTCACTAAGAACAATATGCCATATAGATTTTTTTTTCCCCAGGTGCTTATTTGAAATTGTTTGGACTATTAATGGCAGACTTTAGAAAAACAATCTTATCACCGTTGGTCTTTCCAAAATTTGAAACAAATGGCTTGGATTTTGCTTTAGAATTGCTGCATCAATTTTCACACCTGCTCTCTGCAGAAACTGAGCTACGTGTCTTGTTATGAATGAAAGTTAGTGGTTGGTTGACAAAGCTAACTACAAAAGTATTTTACCACTATCTTTAGCATTATATTAGCATGTGTGGTGCATTTTATTTTGTGTTTCTTTCTTCCATGCCACTGTTGCTTGTTACGGTTGTGCTTCCCAGTGTGTTAATTCTGACTGAGAGTTCTTGTGCAGGTGCTGTAGATAGTAGATTTGGAGCCATAGAAGGAGTAAATAAGCAACTTTTTCTTTAAACTAAGATATTTAGGTGTTATTCTCACTTGAAGGACTGAAAGAGTTTTTATTTATCCAAAGTAAGATGATCCATGTAACTCCAGGATTTTACTGCTCCTGTTATCTTTGGCCTTGATGTTGGGTTTGGATAGAGGTCAGATTACATAATGATTGAGTTCAAGTTGCCTCTCCAAGCTCTCTGAATTGTAGCAAATGTTGTTATGATGTTACTCCATTTCAGCTTACACAAATTCTTGCTTTCTTCTCATGCCCTTCTCATTGTTGCAAGCAAAACCAAAAAGGGGGGGGGGGTGTTAGCCCACTGAAGATGAACCAAATATATGCACACAACATATCAATACACCTGTGTGTCAACGCTGTGATAATGGATGTCAATGTTCTGACCACTGAGAATCAGCAGCCATTTTACTTTTGCTTTTAACGTGCCTTTTTTGTTCTTCTAGAGTTCAGATGCAGAAGGGGGGAATGGGGTAAATGCCTGAGGGTTTAGCTAGGCATTACAATGTAAAAGTGTGGGAACTCAAGGAGTTTGGTGGGCTGAGGAGCCTGAGAGAAAAGCCCATGTTTTGCGCTAATTGGAGAATGTGATTTATGACAGCTTTTGTGGGGTGGGAAATGCAACCTGTTACTTTGTATCTGGGGGGAGGGAATTTCAATCTTGGGTTCAACTATGTAAGTGCCGATACTTTGTTTACTTAATAAAATGTTCTTTAAGGAAGAAATCCTTGCCTTGAAGTTCTTTTAATTGGTTTCATCTATTGGAACCATTAAATTAACCCAAGACTCCTTTTTCTTTAAAATTGCGGGGTCCTGAGTTCCAGTCACCTACCCAAAGTAATAGGGAGGCTGACAAAGACTCGGGGAAGATCCCAATATGGAAAAGGAGGAGAACCCTGTCACCACAACCACAGCCACAGCTGTTACATTGGCAGATGGAATGCAGGCCATTGCACCAATTGAAAGTGTGGTCTCAGATGCTTCAAAGATGGGGGCAAGACCAATGCTTTGACCACTGAGAATCAGCAGCCATTTTACTTTTGCTTTTAACATGCCTTTTCTGTTCTTCTAGAGTTCAGATGCAGAAGGGAGGAATGGGGTAAATGCTTGAGGTTTTACAATGTAGAAGTGTGGGAACTCAAGGACATTGTCTGATAAGGTTTTGGTGGGCTAAGAAGCCGGAGAGAAAAGCCCATGTTTTGTGCTAATTGGAGAATGTGATTTATGACAGCTTTTGTGGGGTGGGAAATGCAACCTGTTACTTTGTATTTGGGGGGAGGGAATCTCAGTCTTGGGTTCAACTATGTAAGTGCCGATACTTTGTTTACTGAATAAAATGTTCTTTAAGGAAGAAATCCTTGCCTTGAAGTTATTTTAATTGGTTTCATCTATCGGAACCATGACACTGTGTAAATTTTATTTTGTATTTATATATTGAAACTTTGGAAAAGTTATAATGACAGCTTGTATCCTAGATGAGAATGTCAAGATTGGGACAAAAATGAAAACTATAATAGTTAAATAAGGTCCTGACTCGTCCTATTGTTTTTGAAACAGTTCAGAAAATTATGACTTTCATACCCATCTTTTCCATATTTGTTCATCTGTCCAATTATAAGCACTAATTCATTCATATTTTTTGCAGGGGTGGGGGTGGGGTAGCATATATAGAAAGCCCATGAAGGGCAAGTAAGTATGTCTGCAAGAGGAGTAAGAAGAGAACAGGGTTTATATATTCTTGACAGATACATCCACAATGACTCTGCCATCTGTGCTTTGTGCTACATTTTATTGTACATTCCAATTCCCATCTCATTGATATAAACTTAGTTTATTAGAGCAGAGACAAAAGAAAGTCAGCAATCTGATATTAATGCAGTCTTTCTTATTCTCTCATCCCTAATAAACTGAGTAAGATGATATATTCAGCTATTTCATTCATCCGTGTGTGTGTGTGTGTGTGTGTGCATACACACACACACACACACACAGAGAGAGAGAGAGAGAGAGAGAGAGAGAATGGGAAGAAGGGAGGCAGGGAGCTAATAAAACATAGAATAATATAATGAAGCAGAATCGTGGGAGATTCAAGGCAGACATTTTGTGTAGTGTATAATAAATTATACAAAAATTCACTTTTTCGGGTTATACCAATGACTATCAATGTGAAGGATTTTAGAAACTTTGATAAACTTTATCTTTACAGGTTAAAGTTATCAATGGCTATTAATCATGATGACATTTAATTATTTCTAGGATCAGAAGTACATTCTTCTCCGTATCAATTGATGGGGATACTCACAAAGAGAAAGCTGCTATTGTTCTCAGATCTTTCTTATGGGGAGATGGATCAGTGTTACAGAACAGAGTGTGGTTGATTAAACTGATTTTTTTAATCTAAATAATGTTATATGTTTATAAAGAAAGACTAGATAAAGAATGGCACAACAGAAAGTATTTATATTGAAAAACAATTAGTAGATTTCTATAGCATTCTTAGAATGACAGAAGAGGATTATAGACCTTGATTGATGATGATGATGATGATGATATCTGTTCTATCATGTCCATTTCTCAAAAGATTTTTTTGGATCATCTCCACATTTTCCAATCATATATAGTTGTTGTTCTCTGTTCTTTTATGCTCTGTCTGGTGTCAGTGTTGATGGTGTCTAGCCATTGTGGGTTTTGATGATCTTGTTTCCTTTTACTACTGGTCATTCAGAGCATAATTGCCTTTTTCCTATGATTGCATAACATGTCTGAAATAAGGTGGGATGTTGTGATTTTGTCTTCTAGCAATAATATTAGTTTTATATGCTCCAGCCCTTGCTTGTTTTTCACCTTTGTTGTCCAAGGAATGTTTAGAAGGCTTCTGTAATACTACAGGTTAAACAAGTCAATTTTTCCTCCTGTCTAGCTTTTTGATGGTCCAACTTTCGCAACCACAGATAACTATAGGAAATATGATAGTGCCCTTCATTGTCAGATTGGTGGGTGTTGCTTTTCTATACTCAATTCATGCTCATCATTGCTGTGTGATCCAGTGCAATTCAATACTTTTATTTCTGGACTGTAATTACTGCATTGATCAATTTGTGCTCCTAGCAAAATGACTCCTTGTGTGCATTTGATCTCTTCACTGTCAAGTGAACACCATTGTTATTTTGACATTTTCATTCAGAAAGTTGTGTCATCAGCATGGTATTCCTTCTTCCAATCTTTACTCTGATTTTTTATTCTTCAAGCTGCAGCTTCCTCACAATGTCTTCGGCCGACAGGTTGAATAAGAAAGTTTAAAGAATGCAGTTTTGCTGCACTCCTTTCTCTGTCTTAAAACAATCAATGTCTCTATGTGGTATTTGCACAATGGCTTCTTGATTTGTGAATAGCAGCTGTACCAACTTGACCAGAAGTGTTGAGATCCCCAGGTCTATTAGGCTCTCCACAGCTTGTTATGATCAACCCAGTCAGAGGCTTTCTTATAGTCAATAGAGCAATTGTAGATGTTTTTTTGATATTCTTGAGATTTTTCTATGATTCAGTGGGAATTTCCAATATGGTCACAAGTATTCTGACCACTTCTAAAGAAAGTTTGAACATTGAGTAATTCTCACCAGATATTATTGTATGATCTTAAGGAGAATCTTGCTAGTATGAGGAATGAGGACAATAATGCAATAATTGGAGCAATCCTTGGGAGGAGCCATTTTTTGACATTGATCATTTCCAGTCCTGTGGCCATGAGTTCATTTTCAAAAATTTCTGGCATGAGTTTCTGATGGTTGGGGGGGTATAGGCCTCAGCAATTCTCCAGGGGTAGATATCTACCCCTCAGGCATTGTTGTTTGGCAGTTGGCTCATTGCCCACATAACTACTTCCTGAAGGATGACTGATTCTATTTCTGCTTCCTTTTCCTCATCATCCTTCAGAGATTGGGCCTCTTTGCTGCTGGCATACAGCTCTTCTCTACATTCTCTCACCTTGTTGGTCAAAAAGTTCTTTCTCATGCTTGTTTTTGATGATGCTTTTACAAGCAATAAATGCTGTTGGAATCCTTCTGATTTGCACAAATGTATTCCTGGTGTGACTCTTCATGCAGTACTTTTCTAGCTGTTTGCAATGCTAGCCCCAATAAACTTTGTGATCTTTCCTTGCTGTTCTTTGGAAATCCACATTCAGTCTCTTGGCTTCTTGAGTTTGTGTACTACTTTGACTGATTTTCTTTGCTTTCTGATGATTTCATCTGAGAACCATTTGCACCTTGTATCTGCTTTCTTGTATGGCATGTGTTCCATCATTGTTTTAATTATGGTAGATTGAATTTCTTGCCACAGTTCATCAGGCCGTCAGCAGTTCAGTGAGGACTGAAGTGGATGATCAATGGCTGGATAGGACATAGTCAGT